TCGCAGGGAATGCGGTCAGGCGAATCAACGCGTTTCTCTCGCTATTAAAACAATGCAATTGCATATCTTCTTCATTTCTTTTTTCATCTCATTCTCTCCCTCTCTCTCTCTACTCTCTCTCTCTCTCTCTCTCTCTCTCTCTCTCTCTTATACACTATTTTTTTTCCAAGTTCAATACAACAAAAATTATTTAAACCTTAGACGTTTCCGAATCAAATCAACGATGATTAAAAAATACAAATAAAAAAGAAACCAATGCAATACAACGGATATTGATAATAAAAAGGATAAAATCTTAAATCAGTTTTCTATTATCTAACGGATAGAAATAATCTCAAGCATTTCAATCTATAAAACACGCTGGAATAAAATCCACGTATCTACTTACTAATATTATACCTTTCTCGTCCGCGATCACGTATACATACTCGTACATCCATATATTTGCATTTAACACGAATATTGAAAACCACTGCACTATGTTCATTATTCGCCCATATTCCTTTTTTACCCTACTACTCGAATTTTCTGTTTTTTAAGCTTCGCAAGATAATTACTTGCCCGTCGAGAAATAATTTATTCGCGAACGACTATAAAAAAGCTTCTCATATTTTTTTCTTCTTTTTGTTCTTTTCTGTTTCTTGTACCAACGTGCAAAGAAATATCGTACGTTAACGTCGTTACGTAGTAGAGAATCGTCAATTTTGATGCGAGTTTCTTCTTCCAAAAAAAAAAAAAGTAAAAAAAAGATGGAAAAAGAAAAAAGGAAGAATAAAAAAAAAACATGTGTGCAGATCACACATGTTAGAAGTGAAACCATCAAGAAAACAAGTTTCGAGATAATGAGGCGAGTGCATAATATATTGTAAATATCAATATTATAATTATAATTATTTATTTAATAATTATAAGAATGCGCGCCTGTAGGTATGCAACCCGCCAGACACGCTTTGAAAATGTTGCTTGCGAGCGCCATCCACTTGGACCGAAATTTTTTGAAGCCCAAACTGTTTATACACGCATGTATTACAGGTTGCCTATCTTTCGGGCAGAAAAAATTCCGTCCCAGGAGATGGCTCTCGGAAGCAACATTTTCAAACTGTGTCTGGAAGGTTGCATTCCTGCATACCATAATATTAATATTTACAATATAATTATATTATATTCTAAATATTTATACTAAATTTAACTTATAAAGTTTGTTTTTTCAAATTACACCAATTCTATAAAAAGTTTTCACTTTAAAAAAAAAAACCATATGGTCAAAATCCGTTCACTACGTTCTCGTAGATACACGTAATACGATCTTGGAATAATGAAAAAGCGCTTGGAAGATACATCTCGTTTGCTCTTGAAATCTACGATGGTAGGTGTTTGCTGCTGCTGCTGCTGTTGCTGCAACTGGAGAGAAATGAAATTTCGATCGTCTTTATCTCCTTCTCTCTATTCCATCCAATTCCGTAGGACGAATTTCATCTTCCATCCGTTTCATGGCTCGGGATACGCGAAATCTCGTCCTACATCTGAATCAACAACGTTGAAAAGTACTTTTTCTTGAACACGATAGGACAATCTTATTTCATCGGATAGACTTGGGTGATAGAAACGCGCTAGATAAAGAGTTGAAGAAAGTTCGAAGAAGAAAAAGAAGAAGTACAAGAAAAAGAAAAAGAAAAAGAAGAAGAGGAAAAATGAAAAGGGTGGAAAAAACACGTTCACTATCCTTACTCGTGTTCTTTTTCTTCTTCTTCTTCTTCTTCTTGGTGAAAACGTTACGATGCTTACCGCGCGACATTAAATTCCATTCATAGATTCTTTTCCGAAAGACTTGAAAATACTTGGCAAAATTCCATAGTGCGGTAAACCTACCTCTGCCTGCCATAGTAATCCTCGTTCTCGTACTCGTCCATTTGGTAAAGAAAAAAAGAGAAAAAAAAAAAGACAAAGATAAAATATTCGATAATAATTTCACGACTTTTTACGCATTCGCTAAAAGAAATCCCTTCCCCTTTCCCTTCCCACCACCTTCCTCGATTATTCCTCTTACCGTTGTGTGCATGAATGTGTGTATGCTCGAAGATCTTAACGACAGTTACAAAATAACGTGACAAGTGGTAGTAGTACGAAGGGGAAAAACTAAAAGAAAATAAGAAAGTGAAAGAAAGGGTAAGGAAAAAGGTTGATAGGTGGATGGTTTGGTTGGTTGGGGATGATAGGGTTAGGGGAGTTGAGGGTACAACGAAAAAGAAACTCGATCGTCGTGTCTCGTTTCTTTTCTCTCGAGTACATAGCTAAGGAAAGGATAACAAGAGATTACAAGAGGTTTTGTTGAAATAAGATATGAAGATATTTTCTGAGATATACGAAAAAAAAAAGAAAGAGAAAGAGAGAGAGAGAAAGAAAGCAAAGTATTAGTAAGCAGGGCCTAAGAAAACTAAGAGTTTCAGAAGAGAATATATATGAGAAGCTGAAAGAAAAACAGAAAATAAAAATGAGAATAAATGGGATAAAGGGGAGAAAAAGAAAGATATATATACATATACATAAAAATATAGAATCAGAGTCTTGACGTACGTTTAACGATAAGAATAGTCTTCGACGAGCTTTTGGGAGGAGAAGGAGGAGGATGATGGAAAGGGAATACCTTTGCTTTTCCTTCGTAAGACGTATAAGAGTCAGAAAAGAACCCTTCTTCTTTCCATACATATATCATATATATATACGTATTGTATTTTCCACAATACTTATAAGAAAAAAAATGTAGAAAAAAGATAAAAGAAGAAGAACAAGAAGAATAAAACTGAAGACTCAATCCGTAGTATGAAATTTCGAGCACAGAAAGAAAATAAATACGGACTAAGACTGGAGTAGTTTGCCTGTAGGGTGAATCAGTCTGCCAGGTACTCTTCTTCTTCTTCTCCTTCTTCTTCTTCTTCTTCTTGTTCTTCTTCTTCTTCTTCTTCTTCTTCTTCTTCTACTACTACTACTACTAGCATACAAAAGGAACAAGTACTACAAGGCGATTTTCTTTGTGCCGGAGGAAATGCGCCAGAGATGGCTGTCAGTGCATGGCTCTGCCAACGTAGAAGAGAGAAAGTGCCGAAGCAATTATCGTAATGGCGGTCTTCAAACCAGAACGTCGCGAAATGATTACGACGAGGGATGGTCTGCTTGGTCTCTATTCTTAAGAACCCACCAGCAAAAGATAAGAGAAGGGATCTTCGATATCCAGTCGTGTCAAAGCTCCGATTTCCTCTTCTCTAAACTCTTTCTCCTCCTCTTTTACCAAAGTCCCATCTTTATCTGGAAGAAATATGACAATATTATTAAACAACTTTAGTATTATCTCTTAAATTGTTACATGAATTCGTTTACGAAAAAAATACAATTTAAAACTGTTGGAATTTTGCATTTTATTTTTAAGATATTTTTTTTCTTTTTTCAAGGGAGTCGATGAAATGGGTATGTAGGACAAGAGAAAGTAACGTGGGAAATGGGATAAAAAAGATCCTGTGTATTTAAATGAAGAATTTACAATTACACGAACATGAGTGTGTGTTGTACAATGGTTTAAATATTGATAATAATAATAATAATAATATTAGTAATACTGATATAATAATATGATAATAACAATGACGATGATAATGATAGTAACAATAATAGATATGATAATAATAGTAGTAAAGATAGGGTGAACTAGAGTGGAACGTAACACCCCCACACCTTGTATAGACACATTCTATATATCGTTTCACGAATACATATGCGTTTATCTATCTAACACAATGACATATAACATTCCTCTGAATTCCTCTGGTATTCTGGTGAACAAGAGTATCGACTTTTTGCAATTGTAATTTCTCGATTACATTACCAATAATACACCAGCTCGATACCGTTCGATACCGTTTTCTTTTTCATGCAACCATGACAGCAATAGGTAGGTAGGTAGGTAGAAAGGTACAGGTGCTTGCTGCCTTCTCTATAAGCTAGACGTGCGATATTGATTTCAGATTTCAATTTAATGCCGCCTCGCGATATCCGAAGCACGATCTTCCAATACCAATTTCGCGTTATCGGACTTTCACTTGATGGCGAAAGAGAAAGAGAAAGAGAATGAGAATGAGAAAGCAAAGAGAATGTGAGAGAAAAAATGAAAATGAACAAAAAAAAAATGGGAAAGAAAAACTAACGCTTAACCACAAAGGTCTTACAAAAAATCATATTTAGTATGTGTAACTGTGTGCACGTTCGGAAATAAGTAGACGGTTTATGTGAATATTCCTTTTTAATAATACTATTGTATAAAAGAGAAAAAATAAAAAGGTTCTTCGTATTTCAATTTAAAATTCATATCCTTTTTTCTCTTTTTCTTTTTTTCTTATCAAACCTAGAAATGATTTGAAATACTTTATCGTATCGTATCACCGTTCATAAACATCATTAATTTTGTTAACAGTCTGAGTAATATACACTTCTCTTCTTTTATTTTTTTTTTTTTTTTTTTTTTATAATAACATTTCAGAACATATCGAATTATCTTCTTTACTCGAATCCATTTTTAAAACTCAATACACTTGATTAAATGTACAAATACATCGTAACTTATTTTTTAATTACTCCATGATATATGTTACATTTAAAAACTCACGCAAATATTGTCAGATCCGATTAAATACTGTTCAAGTTATTTTCAAACAACAATTATTTTTTCCCTGAGAATAATACAATAGAAAAGAAGAAGAAAAATAAAACTTTTCTTTTTCCCTCCAATCGTCAAATTAAATATATATTTAATTAAATTAAACTTTTCGTGACAAGCGTAAGTTAAATTGACACTTAACGAATTATTCTATTTGTTCCTCGTATTAAGCAGATGCCGAATATAACCGGCATTTTAAATTAGTATGAAAAATTGAGAAAAAACCAAATATAATCAGTGATAATTACGATAAGATTAAATATTTATGCAAATGTTCGTATTCGTTATTTTTCAGTTCCACCTCTGAAAATCGTAATCACCGACGAAAGAGGTATAGCACGGGACCAAATGACAGGACCATACTTACAAGGCGATACCCTAATACTTTACTGTGAAGTTTATGGCGGTAAGAACAACCAATCATCGTTTAATACTATCCAACTAACGCGATAATTAATTCATACCTATTTTCTATAAGATCAATCAATGTCAGAGGTTATCGATCAAATAACAACGTCATGAAAGGAAAATAAATTTATATTCATAACGCTAAACGATTCAAATTATTTGACCGCGTACACAAATAAAAATCATCAATTTTTATGTACAATATTTAATTAAACCGCAATTTCCTTTAAAAAAAAAAAATGAAATACAAACATATATACCCGAACGAGTTTAATGTAAAATAAAATTGATATTAAAGGTTCAATATCATATTCAATATTGTTTCAGAATCAATTTAATATTATTATAATACACATATTTACATTTGAGATTTAATTAAGCCAGTAATTTTGACTTATTTATTTTTCGCGTTAGTTGTAGTGTTAATTTAACTACGAAATATGTATTGAAATACTTTTATTAAAAAAATATCGACAAATTTTTCCTTAGAAAAAAAAAGCATATCATCTCATTTCACTCGTATCACTCGTTAAATCCTAGTTTTATCCAATTAAACTTTCTTTCATTATTTAATAAGTGACGAACGTCCGATACGTTACTGTAACGTCACGTGAAAAACGACATAAGTCTGATAAAATTTTAAATAGAAAATGTTACGAATGAAAATAAAAGAAAAAGAAAACAAAATATAATAATAATAATAATTATTATTATTCTATATGTGCCCATAATTATGAAAGTGGTCTCTCTCTTGTTTCGAGATATTTAAAGATTGATACTTGAACACTGTATGAACTCTATACAAAATTGAAATAACAAACATTATCTAACGATTCATTTTTGATAATATCATTTTCAAATTACATTGAATTTATTTAGTTTATAATAATGTAGTGCGTAAAAACTGATATACTCATTTTTTATTAATTTGGACTAGACCACTTTCATAATTATGGGCATATTTAATAATAATCGATAATCGCCGTCATTGGTAATAACTATATTTTTCGTCTCTCGTAAACAAACAAACAAACGAACAAACATAAAATAAATTTTCTGATGTTTCAAATATATTTAAAAAAACAATACAGTAATAAATTAATTAATAAAAGAAAAATAGTTAAATCATAGATCGGCAACGTTATTATGTTCGATACATCGACGGACGGAAAGGGGTGGTAAAGCAATAAATCGAAATCAATTTCGATATTAGAGAAATGATTTCAAATATATCTAAAAAACAATACAGTAATAAATTAATTAATTAATAAAAGAAAAATAGTTAAATCATAGATCGGCAACGTTATTATGTTCGATACATCGACGGATGGAAAGGGGTGGTAAAGCGATAAATCGAAATCAATTTCGATACGAGAGAAAAGAATGAAATATTACTATTTTGTGCGTGTGTGTATATATTTAAATATTTATATAAAACGTATAATTTGAAGAAATCAGATATATATCTGTGATACCTTTTTTTTATTTTTTTTTTATTTTTTTTTTACAGGCAAACCGCCGCCCACTTTGACCTGGTACCGTAACAACAATTTCATGAATAACAAAACCATGAACGTACGAAACGGCGTGACGCGCAGTGAAATCGTAATAAAAAATTTGGAAAGAGACGACGTTCTCTCGGAGCTGACCTGCAACGCGACGAATAATAACGGATCGTTCACGCTGTCCTCGACCATTCTACTGGATATGAATTGTAAGTATCTATCCGTTTCGAAACAATCCAAACAAAGCAAACAAAAGGGTGGGACTGGGGGGTTGGAGGGTGGTTGGTTGGTTGGTTTGCAACGACGCCTCCAGTTCAAGTAGATACTATGAATGAACAATGAAACAACTATAAATATTCCCTTCGGTATCTTCTTTCTCAACAGTCTCACTCCCAACCCCAACAGTCCTCCACCCCTATTAACAATCTACGATTCTTATTCGTCCTTTCAACTTTAGATTGATTTAAATCTATCTATCTATCTATCTATCTATAGAAAAGTTAAACTTTACTTATCTTATATTACCAATTCCAATTCGTTTCAATAACTCTATGAAATTTGTTCAAATATTACAAGGTGTATAAAAAAATAAAAGGGGTGGTGAATGATTCTTTATCGTGTACAAATGAAATCAACGTAAACGAGCAAGATTTTTACTCTAATATTTACAAATTGTCGACGTTTATTAACCGATTAATAATAATCCCTGTATACACACGATTATTTTTTTGTTCCATTTTGTATTACGAATCTCGTAAAAAAAAAGAAAAAATGACGATGATCGTAAAAACAAATCACGCGTTTCGAAGACACAAAATGTAAACATTTTAATAGCGTGCAATTGGACGGAAAATAACCGTTATTAAAAAGAAAATGTTTTTGTAGTTGATAATAAAAAGACTATTGAAAAAAATATTTCAATGTAGGCAGCAACATGATTACAAAAAAAATGTTCCAACACGATTCATCCGATAAAACGTAATCTCAAAAAGAAAAGAAAAGAAAAGAAAAGGAAGCAAAGAAAAAAAGAAAAATATTTCGCCAGGTATTTTTCGACTTTTCTTTTCTTTTTCCATTTTAAAAATAACAACGGACAGAATACAATGGGGGATAATCATCCAACGATTCTTGCACATCCGTTTATCAAGTTTATTTTTCCACGAAAAAGTATCGAAGAAGAAGTTGACGGAAAAAGTATCACAACTGAGGGGTGATGGGGGAGGGAATGATAGTCAGTCAGTCGTCTAGTAGAGCTTTAAACAAACTAAACAACAACAACAACAATGACAACAAAAAGTAGAAAAATCTAAAAATGCATTTATTAGCAAAAAGACAAGTGGATTTTGCGATGGCAGATATCGTTCGTAGTGCGAACGAATGAACGAATGAACGAACGAACAATCGTAGAAATACCATATCGCTTTTTCACAAGAGCGAGTTACGAACGATCGACGAAGAGAGAGAGAGAGAGAGAGAGCATTGAGAGAGAGAGAGAGAGAGAGAGAGAGAGAAAGAGATAGATAGAGAGAATGTAGTAGTATTTCGATGGTACTTTGTTATTGACATGGGCATCGGTACGTTGCGTGATGTTTATCGGGATAACAGAAAAAAAAACCGATGGTCATTTTTCTAGCCTCACCTGCGAACTCGACGAGAAAAATACTGATAGGAGAAAGARAAAAAGATATATACAGGGTGATCTGTAACTGGTGGTACAAACGAAAAGAGGATGATTCTACATGAAAAAATAAATCGAAAATATAGAATAAAAATTGTTTCGTTTGAGCCTTTGTTTTCGAGAAAATCGACTTTGAATTTTCGCAAAGTACGCGTGCACTTGATCATGTTTCGTTACTAACGGACCTACGAACTTTTCAAAAATAACCACTCTACATAGCTATACATGTGTATAGGTATTTTTTTTTGGTATAGTATACTGTATAGGATGCCGATCAAGATAGGAGGATTTTTCGGGCGGCTATACGCCCGTTCGTCAAGTTGTTTTTTAAAAGCGTCGAAAGCGGAGTGGCTAAACGTGACTGAAGCTCGAAAGCAAGTTTAATCTCAACCGCAGCACACTGTTATTATGAAAAGATACATCTACCTCGACCTGATGGTGTCCGCATAAAAACCTGTTATCTCACGATCGTGCTATAAACTCTCTCTCTCTTTCTCTCTCTCTCTCTCTCTCTTAATTTATGCAACGCGTTACAGTTTCTTGGTAGAAGATGAGAAGAGAAACAAACCATCGTCCATTCGAAAGCGTTCCTACTATTACGACTACCACTCTGGCATTTAACTACTATCGCTGGAATACTCCAAAAAGGGGTATACTGAAAAAGGGAAAAAAAAGAAAGAAAGGAAAACAGAGAGAAAGAGAAATTGTGCAAGATGTTATCCCGTAAATCCTCGTAACACTGCAGGTACCGGAGATCAAAAGCCTTGGTAGCTAGTGCGATACGCACGTTATGTTACAAGTAAATCAAGATGGACGAGACACACACAGTCCTAGGTACAAAAGATAGACCCTCTCGCTTAGGAAACTTCGTGGATTCCCCTTGGGATCCTGTGGATTCTTAAAGAGAAACGTGTCTTACTTTTCTGTGCTTACTACTGTGCGTAAAAGACACTTCGGAAAGCTGAGATAAAGAAAAACGATAAATGTTATAGGGAAGTGATGTTTCTTGTAATCATTAAAGGGGGTATAATGTTACTGTGACTAAAWYTYWCTCTCTCTCTCTCTCTCTCTCTCTCTCTCTCTCTCTCTCTCTCTCTCTCTCTCTGTGCAAAGTGAWTTTYWTTWTAATGCACCATCAACCCCCCTTACATCTTTGATAACGTTCGATGGCAAATACCGCAGCACGTTTTTACACACCATCGACCCAACATTTTATCAGTACCCGCACGTTAATTTTGTTTCTGTTCGAGAAAGAAACGTTTTATGATAAAACCATATTTTCCCCAACCCTTGTTTCTTTTCATCTTCTTCTTTCCCCTTTTTTCCCTCTTATGCGAAAATACTTGATTCGATATTATTATTATTATTATTATTATTATTATTATTATTATTACTATTATCATTATTATCAGTATTATTATTATTATTATTATTATTATCATTATTGTCGCGAGTACAGTTGTGTTGTGTAGTCTTTGTTTTTATTGTCGTCATTATATCGCTTTTTCGCGGTGAACGCGCCGATATTATCGTTTCTTTCAATAGTCGCATTCCGTTGGAACTGCATTTTAATGGGGTAAACGAATTAAAACAAAAATAATTGAAAAGAAGGTAAAGACAATGGACGAGATGAAGAATATGCAGGATTAAATGAGCATAAGTAAATATACTGTTTGCATGGGAATTATTAAACAATGTCTATGTGTGTGTGTAGACGACAAACTGATGAAAAACTCGAATTGCGAGGAAGAAAGATGTATAATATAACATTTAAACATGGATATTTCTATTGACCGTTTGGTAAATTTAATTGAACAACTGTTCACCGGAAACCTTTATGTTATTTCGACGTACGAGCAAATGATTCCAAAGTTACACGCCATACACATCATAACGTTAAAACAAAAAGAGATTTAATAACCTAAGAGAAAAATCCTTAAATACACACTTTTATTCGTTTTACAAAAAAAAAAAAAGAAAAAGTCTTTTAAAGGATTACCGTTTATAGACACTATTTATCTACTTACCTCAACGTTTATATATTGCAGGAAGATACTTTTAACGTTCTACACGATTAACGATAAGAAAATGATACTATTATGAAAGTTTTGATACATTTATCGGTACATTTGATGATCTTCTTTAATATTAAAACTATCGTTAATTTATATATACCCTGTTTACGATTATTAAAGTATAAAATGACGAGAGAGAGAGAATATTATATTATTCCATTGTATTCTAACATTTACTCAAATTAAACTAACAACACAAAATTGTATCAAAAGAAAAAACGGTGTATCATCTACATTTTTTTCTAAATATTACATTACTTATTTTATAGAATTAATTAAAACAACGATTTAAATTAATTTAATTTTTTTAACGATTATAAAGATGTCTCAAAAAAAAAAACAAATAAAAGAAAACAAAACATTAAACAAAGGTCATATTAACAAAACGTATATAAAGCATAAAGCAAATGGGGGGTCTTTCTTTCAGCAACTCGACGACGACGACGAGTATGACGACTATGACGACTATAACGACAAGATTCAACGATGCTTAACGACGCACGACAATCTATTAAGAGCACCTATGAGAATCTACATGATTCCTGGCATGGTGTTTTTCTGTTTTTCCAAGCCATTGTAAAGTACTTTACAAAGGCGGAACTCTGCTGGATGCTGGAACCAGCCAGTGAGAACGGAGCAGCAGCAGCTTCTCCTTTCAAAGCAAACGACGAAGGAAGGATCGTGCATTTAAAAAAAAAAATAAAAACAAAAAAAAAAGCTTATTCGGGAGACTGAGATTGTGTTCGTCGACAATACCTGCGCTAATTGGAGCGCAACTCCTACTGATGCAAGGAAAAAATAAATAAAAAGGAAAAGGAAAAGAAGAAGAAGAAGAAGAAAAAAACGACAACGACGACGAAGAATAAGAAGAAGAAAAAGAGTAAAAGGAGGAGAAGGAGGAGGAGTAGGAGGATGGAAGCTATTCGAATAACGTACAGATGATTTCTTTATAAATGACACTTCCCTACTCTCTAATAACCCTGCACTCGAGTAATACTCGTGTTGTACGCATTTAAAAGGTTCTATTTAAAAAGAGGTAAATTCAAATACAGGCGCCTGGTTTAACAGAAGAAGAAAAAGAAAATAAAAAAAAAAAATTAAACAAACGCATCTCTTCATCCTATTCATTCAAATGGAACTTTATGCTTTATTAGTTCAACAGTTTGATATTGAGATGTAGTTTTGATTTTAACAAACACAAAAATGAATTATATATCTCTAACTGGCCTAAACATTTCATGCACGTATATTATTACATTATTCTTATGTTAGATGTATATTCCATTAAACGTTGACTGACAATGAGAATAGGGTTTAATAAAGGTTCCATATAAAATATCTATCCGCATATATTATAAGGCACATCTATGATCATTTTAAATGTCAAGTAAATGAATGATGCGATAACAAAGAAATTTCAAAGAGCATCCATTCGAAATAATCCTTATGGATTGTG